TTTTTCAGTTAGATATTAAAAAGAATTCAATTCAACCAACTCTTTTTTTCTTTCTTACTTTCAAAATATCGTCTGAATATAATCAATTTTTTTCCATTTTCAACGAAAAGAAGCTAAAGAAGACCTAAATTGGATATATCAAAAGCTAATTCTAAAAAGAACAATAAGCCATCAATATTCTGTATAAACTTTTTAAAAGAAGAGCATCAAGTGCAACTAGAAAAGATAATATTAAAAGCGCTTTTTAGCTTGAGTAAATGTACCAGTAGAAATAGAAAAGGATAAATGAAACCATAGCTTCGTTCTTGCAAAGAATTCTTGCTCATTCCATTTCAATGAAACCCTAGGACTGTCAAAAGAGACAACAACAACAAAACCCTACCTGCTTCATGTACTCTGACTCTTCCAGGAACACGAACACGAACACGAATCTCAGCTAAACGCTGTCGTTGAAGTCACTTGAACGTTTCTTTTTCAAGTTTTGACAAGGGTGATGTGGTAAATATGTTCAGCTGATAATACGACGTCGTTAACTGGCTCACGCACACATAACTTGATAAAATAAAAACAAAACAAAATTGAAAGACTTTGAGCAAACAAATGAATGAAGCGCATGAAACCACCATTATCAAAAATTCAAACACTACCCGCCATCAACGGCAATATCCAGCGAGCCTTGCAAACCCTCGACTATGGCGCGTACGGCCATCTCATCCAACACTTCACCGACCGCCACCTTCATCGCCAAGCCAAGCAGCTCCACGCGCGGCTCGTTCTCTCCTCAGTCGCTCTTGACAACTTTCTGGCTTCAAAACTTGTCAATTTTTACTCAAAATCTAACAAACTCTTTCAAGCCCAGCACGTGTTCGATAAAATTTCCCACAAAAATGTGTTTTCTTATAACGCCATGCTCATTGCGTACTCTGTTCACGATATGTATACCGATACGTTAAAGTTGTTTTCGTCATTGCTGTCATCTTATTCGGTGGATTTGAAGCCTGATAACTTTACAATCACGTGCGTTTTAAAGGCGTTGTCGGGTTTGTTTTGTGAGTCAAGATTGGCTAAAGAGGTTCATGGTTATGTTTTGAGATGTGGGTTTGATTCCGGTGTGTTTATTTTTAACGGTCTGATTACGTTTTATTCGAGATGTCATGATATTGCTTCAGCGAGGGCGTTGTTTGATAGAATGTCTGAGAGGGATATTGTAACATGGAATTCGATGATCGCCGGGTATTCACAGGGAGGGTTTTATGGAGAGTGTAAGGGATTATATAGAGAGATGTTGAATAATTCGATGTTGAGACCAGATGAAGTGACAGTAGTCAGTCTTTTGCAGGCGTGTGGGCAATCAAATGATCTTGTTTTGGGAATGGAAGTTCATAAGTTTGTAATTGAGAATCAAATTAAAGTGGATGTTTGGCTTTGTAATGCTTTGATTGGAATGTATGCAAAATGTGGTAGTTTGGATTATGCAAGAGCATTATTTGAGGAGGTGAGTGAGAAGGATGAAGTTTCGTATAGTGCAATTATTTCTGGTTACATGGTTCATGGGTATGTTGACAAAGCCATGAATCTGTTTCGAGAAATGAAACAACCAGGATTAAGTACGTGGAATGCTTTAATTTCAGGTCTGGTTCAAAATAACCGATATGATGGGATTTTGGATTTGGTTAGAGAAATGCAGGCGTTAGGTTTTAGACCAAACGCGGTGACACTTTCAAGTATTCTTTCTATGTTTTCGTATTTTTCAAACCTAAAGGGAGGGAAAGAAATGCATAGTTATGCTCTTAAAAACGGTTATGCTCCTAATATTTATGTTGCAACTTCCATTATTGATACTTATGCAAAGGCCGGGTTTCTTCATGGGGCACAACGGGTTTTTGATCAGTTGAAAGGTAGGAGCTTGATTATTTGGACAGCAATAATCTCAGCTTACGCTGCCCATGGTGATGCTAATGTAGCTCTTACTCTTTTTAATGAGATGCTGAATAATGGGATTCAGCCAGACCCAGTCACATTTACAGCAGTGTTGGCAGCTTGTGCTCATTCGGGATTGGTGGATAAAGCATGGGAGATTTTCAATTCCATGTTTGCAGAGTATGGCGTTCAGCCCTCTGTTGAGCATTATGCATGCATGGTAGGGGTTCTTAGCCGAGCCAGAAAACTATCTGAAGCAGCAGATTTTGTCTCTAAAATGCCAATTGAACCAAATGCTAAGGTTTGGGGGGCACTGCTTAATGGGGCTTCAGTTTCTGGTGATGTTGAACTTGGGAAGTTTGTTTGTGATCGTCTATTTGAGATTGAACCTGAAAATACTGGAAATTACGTCATAATGGCAAATCTATACTCACAAGCTGGAAGATGGGAAGAAGCTGATAGGGTGAGGGAAAAAATGATGAAAAATGGGTTGAAGAAAATCCCAGGCAGTAGTTGGATTGAATCCAGTGGTGGGTTACAAAGCTTTATAGCTAAGGACACATCAAGTGAAAGAATGGTTGAGATATACGCAGCATTGGAAGGATTGCTTGGTTTGATGAGAGAAGAAGGGTATGTATTGCAGAATGAGTATGAAGAGGAGAGTGCCTATATATGAACAGTGAACGCATAAGCATCAGAATTTTTGTAGAAATGAGGTGTGGGCTCATGGAGTCCAATGTGCCCAATGCTTTCCTAAGGCCAAAATGACTAACATATCTTCACCCACCTTTAGGAGTCCCTGCAGGTCAGAAATACCATTATTGGTGAGTCAGTAGTTTGGTTGCCCACGCTAGATAGCTTTGAGCTGGCTGCTGCTGTTGATTAGTACATCTGAATTGCCATTTTTGTTTTGACTAATTGTCCAACACGAAGGATAGAAACAGTGTACATTTTATCATTTAATTAGTTTTCTTGGTGCATTATAAGTTCAAGGAAAAGGCATAATGCAGAGCTGGACGTGTTGAAGACTTTGGATCCCATTCTTTAACATTTACATATTTTTCTTGAGATGTTGAGCTGATATTGATGCCATTCTTACTGAACAGACAAGATTGATACGTTTTTATTCCTGGACAGAGTGGGGGTACATTTTCTATAATTCTTTCTCCTGTAACCTTTCTGAGTTGTTCACCCAACTTTTGGACTGGTGTGCACTTAGGATTACTTTTAACGGTGTTACCCTGTAATCATCACTCCCAAACAAGAAGAATACCCATTTTCATCTTTAATTCTTTGCTTTTGGAGTCTTTTTATTTCTCTCTTTCTTTTGTTCTTCTGGGTAATCTTTGCTTGCAGTTAAAGCATCCAATGATACAACTTTTGGCCATAAACGCCACAGTTAATTTCTATATTATTCTTTGGTCGGTCCCCCATTCCTTCTCCACACAATGATCATAATTTTTCCCTTTCATATTCACCAGAATGTCCATGATGCACTTGCACATTCTTCAAAGAGTACACAAATCCAATCACCTAACTAAATTCTCAGCACATGGTTAAAATAGTCAATGGGGATTCATTTTTCCAAGCTCCAAGAAGTATAAACCGAGATAAATGAAGGTGGTGGATGTCATGTAAGTGTGAAGGGTGACAATATGCCGGGACAAGCGCAAGAGTGACAAAATTTGCTAACTTCCATAGCGTTTGCATGGCTAATAATTGTTGTTTACTGTATAGGAGACAAGAGAAAGGAGCCATGGATGGGCCAAATGTTTTTTTTTTTCTTCTTATTGTTTCCATTCTCTTGATTAAGGCAGTGCTTATTTGAGATAATGAAAAGAAAATAAAGTGTCTTAATGTCTTTGAAATGGACACATGCTTGTAGACAAAAAACACCTACATTCTGAGCCACTCCATAATATTCTAAAACTCCACCGCGTTCATCGATCTCTTCTGTTCCACCGTGATCGCCCAAATCTTCAAATGATAATTATGATATAACTTGGTAATTCGAGTCCCATAATGCACTTGTTGAAAATAAACCAGGATCCCACCTAGAGAAAAGGAAAGATTTTGATCATTTTACGTTACCTTCATAATATTATTAGTGATATAATAGTTGGTTAATTTACAATAATGTAAATTATTTAACCATTTCCTGCGGATTTTCTTCTAATATCTTATTTTATTAAATAGAAAGACCAAATCCAAATTCCGAAGAAATATGCAATTGTCTCAATCTTAGTTTTGATTTTAGTCGGTATATTACTAGAAAAATGGCCTATTATGACATAGAGAATCATCGTGATAGATGAATCGATGTACTGAAAAATGAATACTAAGATTCCAACATCGCATTGCAAAAGTTAAAAAGTATAAGATCTATGACAAAACCGAACTATATCGCAAGACATAAAAGCATATATTATAGATACTTTATAACCCATAAAGTGTATCCTGAATCATAAGGGATTAGTCTGATCGTCAAAAAGGTTTGCTCTCATCATTGGGTTTTAAGATTCGAACCTTGTAATCACCTATCATATTGTGATTTATTTTATCATTTAGGTTTGTAGGATATTCAATGAATTCCAATGATTAATTAAGGTGTGTGTAAACTGATCAGACACCTTGATTACCAAACCAAAAAAAAAATGTATCCTGATGATAGAAAAGATAAAACATCTTTCTTGACTTTGTATTACAGCAAGAGAGAAGGTTTATTCTGATACTAACGGTTGTGTCGATAAAGAGCTGGTCGTAAAAACCACATTTTTATTGTGTTGGTAGGTAGCTCGGAAGAGCTGGTATTATACTGATATGTTCTCATGAATTCCCTCTCTATGGTATGTGGACCTCTTGTTTCGGCCCTCTAAATAAAACCATGTCCAGGCACTTTCAAACATTAAAGAATTGAAGTTTTACGATTCAAAATGTAATATCCAACTTTATTAATGTTTCATTGAAGTGCATTTATGATTATTCCACTAGTGTTATGGATCTGATAGAGATCTTGCCCTCACTCAAGACCTCTCACGTTTGTAAAGGAGCCAGTGGTAATTAAAAGCAAACTTCATGACCAATTTAGTAAAAGGATTTCATATATAAACCCACAGTTATCAAATCTCCCACGCACACGATCCCATGGAAGAAGAAGAAGAAGCAAAAATCATTGCAGCACTTTCCACTCTTACTTCTTCCAAGCTTTCAGATCTCACCCACTCCATTCTTTCTCTCACCCATCGTCACCACCGCCGTCTCGCCGCCCTCCTCTCCTCCCCTCCCATCTTTTTTCTCACTCTTCACCATCTCCACTCCCTCTCTCTCCCCAACAAAACTCTCCTCATCGCTCGCCACCTCCTCTCTTCTCTCCAACCCCTCACTAGCCACTTTCAACACACACCCCCACACGCTTTCAACTCCACAATCAGACAACGTGAATCCGACACCGTTATGCTCCTCCTTTTACTCTGTGAAGTCCAACAGCAAAACCCGGAAGCGCTTCAAACCCCACTCGCCAAATGGCACGGTGTATTAACTAAACACTTCCGCGGTACTTTGTTAACTCTTTCCGGCATCGGTACTTATAAAGGTGCAATTTTGATGCCGTATATTGAGATGGTGACGAGGTGTCGGAGGTTTCTTAGCGTAATGGGTGGTGGAGGGAAGGCCGGGAGGGAGGTGGCGGCGGCGTCAGCTACGGTGGTGGCGCTGCCGTCGGTGCAGGTGAGCGGTGGCGGCGGTTTGGAGTGTGTTATATGTAAAGAGGAGATCAATGAAGGAAGAGACGTGTGTAAATTGCCATGCGAACACTTGTTTCATTGGATGTGTATTCTGCCGTGGTTGAGGAAGAGAAACACGTGTCCTTGTTGCCGGTATCGGCTTCCGACCGATGATGTTTTCGGAGAGATCCAACGGCTGTGGGAGGTTCTAGTTGAGGTGAGCCGCAGAAGTTAGAATTGAGGGAGGGGATCAATGTTGCATGTGATTGCATGATGATCATAGAAGAAGTAACAGGTGGCAGAATCAGAAGGGTAAAATGGAATGAAAGGTTGTGAATTTGTGAGATGATCACTTGTTTATTGATGAAGACGGCTGTGGTTAAGGTTATACTCTAGTAGATAATAAATGAGAAGATATTAAAAAAAAAAAAAAAAAAAAAACTAAGAAGAATTATAAGAATGTAATTAGAGATGGATCTTAGTTGTCAATAAAGGTAGTTATTGAAACTATTATTCGATCGATACTTACAGAGTTCTTGAAGATTAATTGAGATATGTGTAAACTAATCTGGACATCCAGATCATAAAAGGGTAAAAAAAAAAAAAAAAAAAATTGAGATGGATTACCGCAATTTAATCCATAATTTTTCATGATAAAATTTATTATTAGTCAATTGTTTGTGTGAAGTAGGTGATATTTTCATGAATCACTTTGTATGCTTTATTATTATGTTCAAATTCCTTTTCATTTTGGGGTATGTAAAAAGCAGCTACTTTTTAACTTTGGAGTACATAATTATAGTTGATTAAGCTCTAGTTACATTGTTGTTTCTTTAATAATAATCAATCCATCCTAAACAAATAAATTCATTTCAATATAAATTTATGATTTCATGGAGAGCTGGGTATTTGGGACCAGGCCCAAAAGCCCAGCTCCAAAATCCGGTCCTAGGAGGCCTAGTCCTAAAACGAGACCAGGCCTAAGGAGAAGGGCCCGGGCCCTCCACTGGGCCCTCCTCCAAAGCCCGGGCCTGGGCCATTTGTATTTTTTCAATATAGTCCCCTACCAAATTATTAAAACCCCCTATTAATTTTAAAATAAATATAAATTACTAGGGCTAAAAAAAAATTTACAAAATTTATAAAAATAAATCTTCCAGGTCTAAAAAATTTAAAAAATTTATAAATTTTACCTCTAAAAAATACTAAAAACCCCCTATAAAATTTCATTTTGCCCCCAAAACATAAAAAAAAATTGAGGGGGAAAAATGAAATTACCCAAGCCCCATGGGACCGGTCCTGGGCCCATAGGACCAGTCCCGACCAGGCCGGGTCTTGGTTTTTCTCATGGACCTGGGAGTCCCAGACCCATGAGTGACTGGTCCCATTTGGGACCAGTCCCAAACGGGCCCAGGCCTGGGCCTGCAAGGGACCAGTCTAATGGGACCAGTCCGAAACAGGCCCAGGCCTGGGCCCGCAAGGGATCGGTCCCTGCCCACCTCTTATTTTCATCCTCCTAACATAGCCTTTTACTTTCTTCTTAACTTCATAAAAATACACTTGAGCCTTGTATCTCATGTGGTGTTTGTTTTCTTATCTACAAGTTGAATACATCTTATAGCCTATTTGGTATTAGCTTATAAGTATTTAAAATTTAAACAGAACATGTTTGATAAAATGTGGTTTATAAATACATTTTATTATTAAAATGACTTAAAATTGTACTACATTATTTTATCAAATAATAAATTATATTAACTCAATTTTTTACTATAATATTATCAAAATTTATTACAATCATATTACAATATAATTTAAATTTAGAATTAAATAAACAAATACTTTATAGACAAATATCTTATTAAAAAATGGTTATATAATGAAATTTTAAAATTAAATAAGGATAATTTAGTAATATACTTAGTCAAAATAGCTTATAAACCTAAAAAAATTATAAATAAACATATCAGTTCGATTTCAAAACTTATAAGTTGATGAACTCAAACAAACACACACAAAACAAACACACACACAAAAAAAAAAAAAAAAAAAACACCCACCCCAGAAACTAGCCAATGAAAATGGATTAAAATAAAATTGATTAAGCAATAGCCAAATAATAGAACTGAATATGACCCAAAATAAAGAACTCCATCATCGTCAAGGGCCGATGAGGATCCAACAAAAAAAGGTGCAGCTGAGCCCAATAATAAATGGGCAGCATCAAAATCTGGTACACTGAAACTTTCAAACAAACCAGCTCATCTTTAGAAAACGGGCAGTCAATTCGAGCCCCTATCTCCCACTTTTAAATATTCTTTATGAAAATTACTAGAAATGACTAAATATACTCATATTCTTTTTTACAGTTTTGTTTTCATTTTTAAAATTTGATTCTTATATAAACCCTAACTCTAAATCTTCAAAATTGATGAACATTTTTTTTATTTTAAATATTTTTTTGTTTGATGACAATATATCATTAAAACTATAGAGAAAGTAATCAAATGATAGGATGAATCTGAATTTGAAGAAGAAAAAAGTAAGTTTTAAATTTGAAATTGGGAAAAATGAGTATAAACCAAAAGCCTAATTAAGTTTAAAATTTGGAGAAAAGTGGAGTAAACAAAAACTCTAATTAAGTTTGAAATTAGGAAAAATGGGAGTAAACAAAAAACCTAATTAAGCTAAGTTATTTTCGGTATTAAATGGGGTTTAAAGAATTTTTTGTTTAAATATAATAAATGTGTATTTAGCAAAGGGATATTAATCAATTAGATTACGGCTAAAAATCATTTTCCCATTGTATTGTACCAAATTTTTAATCATGATCTATTTGATTCGCTTACCTCAATTAAAGGTTAAATTTGCAATAAAATATAGAGTAAATGACTATTTTTGAGCCAAAAAATGGCCTAATGACACTTTTCCACCCAAAAAGTTTCAAAATACAACTTTACTACCCAAACGTTATATTCCATTAATAATTTTCATTAAAGGCAAAAATATCATTCTCTCTTCTCTTCTTAGCCTCCAACGTGACCAAAACCACCACCCATTCCACCTTTTGCTCCACCACCACCACCAATACTACCTTCACTTAGCCCACACAACAAAACCCCTATCAACATCCCCCCTTCAAAACCCTTAACCTCCCCCACCACAATAGCCCACCGATCACCGCTGCCAGCCTTTACAGTTTTGTGCAATTGCTACACCTTTTCCAACCTATTTTCGGTTGATCCTAGCATTGAAAATCACCTCGATGCTATCAATTGCACCACTAACATCCCCTTACAAAACCCCCAACACCCTCAACCTTGGTTGCCCGTCATTTCCCATCCACCACTCTCTTAGGGTTTTGCTTATTTGTTGATTTTGGGTTTAATTGGAGATTGATCTAGAGTTGTTTTTTTTTTTTTTACAGGAGATTGGGTTATTGGAAGTGTTTGTGTGTTTAGTGGTTGACTGCAAGTTTTTCAGCCACTTTCCCAACTTAATTAATTTCAACCCCAAGTCTTCAAATTTGTGAAACCCTGGGTGGTGGAGAGCGGTGAACAACGTGCAATTGGCATTTGAAAGGTTAGAGGTTTTGAAGATAGGAGGCCGGTGAGTTGATTGATGGTCTCAAGAGGGATTTCCAACGTCGGAAGTGGTCGAAAAAGGGCAAGAATCGCGCGAACCAATGTGTGCGGTGGCCGACAAATAGAGGGATTAGACGGTCGAAAGTGAGAGGGGTTTTGGTAAGGGAGTGAGAAGGAGTATGTTGGTGGTGGTGGTGGTGGGATTGCTCAACGGCTAGATTCAAGCTAAAATGTCCTGAAAATGGCGGCCATGCGGTGAGAGTAGGTCACGAGAAACCGGTGCGTTGCCGACCAAAATTGGCCAAAAACGAATCAGTTGGGGCATGGGAAGGTTGAAATCCAAACTCGAGAGTTGATTCTTTGGTGGCACATAATGTTAATTGACCATCATGCCTTTCTTCACAACGAAATTTACTAACAAAATTGTGCTTTGGGTAGTAAAGTTGTATTTTCAAACTTTTTGGGTGGAAAAGTATCATTAGACCATTATTTGGGTAGAAAAAAAAATCGTTTACTCTAAAATATACTAAAAAGTGGTTTCTATAAATTTGAATGACAGTGTGGAATGTAAATTATATGGGTATTTGATACTGTTTGTTATGATTTTGATGAGATGAGAAATGGTATGGAATAAAAACATAAGAGTAATACTAACATTACAAAGAAGCATACAAAGAGCCATATAAAGAGCCAAATTTAGCCTTTGAAATTCATGATTGCCTATTTCTTTCTTTCTTTTTCCCTTCTTTCAAGGGTTGGATTTGACTCTTTGTATGACTCTTTATATGCCTCTTTGTAAAGCTAATATTACTCAAATCATAAATACAAATATAAAAGTGGACCAGTTGAATGGGAACGAGTGTGCTTAAAGCTCTTGCAATCGCATTCATAAAATATTTAGCAAGAAAAGCTAAGTATATACGTGTCTCATGCCATATAAAATTTGAATACATTGTTTCTTTGAGTGGACTACAAGCTAATTGCATCACTCAATACCGGTAATTATTGGGTACACTGTAATGCTCTTCAATATATTTTTTTCATTTTAGTTTATTAAAATGTTCTCAATGATACGTAAATTACGAAGGCGCCACAAGCTCAACTAAATATATAAGGCAGAATCACATTTTCCCACTTTTGGTTTGGAAAAAAGACAATATTGCAGTCCTTGTTTGAGAAACCAACAAAGTTCATGTTGACCCGGTTGGCTTGGTAGTCAAGAAGGTTTACTCTTTTATTTGACTTCTTGGTTCAAACCACTTAGGACCACTTGCCACATTAACGGCTTGATGATTAGTTGAAATACACATAAACTGACCCAAACACCTTGATTATAAAAAAAAAAAAAAACAAAACAAAACAAAATTTCTGTCAATAAATTATGGCATTTGCAAACAAGGGGTGTAAAGTGTATCTTTGACAAACATAGGGTGGGAAAAGTAATTAGATTTATATAAAAAGGAGTAAACAACATGCTCCAACGCAAGGTTTAGCGAAATGTCAAGTTCCCACCCCTGGTTTCATAAATTCCAGATTCTCACTCTTAAATTAACACTGTTTTATTTCATTTAACAATCAAAGGATAAAAACGTCATTTAGTACATTTTAATATTTTCATTTACTAAATTCCAAATTCCGATTCCGTGCACTCTCTTTTCCTTCACCGTGGCTCTCTCGCCATCACTCTACACTTTCATATAAAGATTTGTTTGTGTAAGGACTGCATGATTCATATAAAATTTAATGTTTTCTTTTGAAAAGGATGGGGTGTTTGCCATAAATGGAACAAAGAGGGAGAGAGAGCCACGGTCGCTCGCCTGCTGGGTGGTTTGCGTGGTTGGGCAATAGAGAGTTGGTTGGGGAAAAAAGTTGACTAGGTGGTGGGTGGGGTGCAGGTGGTGGTCGTCGACGGCAGTCGGGCCTTCCCAATCCAAAAACCAAATCAACACAACAAACACTCCAATAATCAATTAAAATCACAACCCAAACTGCAAAATCAATCAAACTTTGACATCTATCAAAAACCCAAAAAAATCCAGTCAATTGCAAAATCGGCAACAGTGGGGATGCTGGCAGCGGGGAGTGTGATCGACGGTAGCTACCAGACATTGAGGAGATGAAGAAGGTCTAGTCTCAATCATTTTTATGTTTTCATTGAGGAGAGATAATTTTCTTGGGGGCGGGAAGAAAAAGAAAAAAGTGTAGAGGGAACTAGTGGGGAGAGTAGAGAAATGTGCGAAGTGTTTTGGTTGGTTGGGGATGAAGTTTGAAATCATAATATAAGTGGGAGGGTAGTTTAGTAATAACTCCCTTTGAATCTGTATCAGGATCTAACCTCCGTTAATAATGGTAATTTAAGGGTAAGAATCTGGAATTTATGAAACCAAGGGTGTGAACTAGCTATTTTTCTAAACCTTGGGTGGGAACCAGTCATTTACTCTATAAAAGCAAAAGAAGTGAAGCCACATGAATCAAAGTGTTAGAACAGCGAGATATTTCCGAGGCATCACGTGACAGCTTACAGCTAGATACTGTAATGTAACTGTATATGTAGAAGCTCCGTGAAGGCTTTCAAAATTTGAACCAATTCATTTATAAACCGGGCCTGCCACCTCATTCTATTTCAAATTTAAATCAATCAATAAATGCTACTGTCATTACTTGCTGCTATATCTTGTTATGGGCATTTTCATTCTAGACTTTAGACTAATTGTCCCATCTCATCTTTCATACATTAAGCAAACTTACAATAAATAAGCTTTTAATGAATTTTAAACATTCAAGAATCTTGCAATTTGGCAAAATGCCCATAATTAATTTCCTCTCTTATTAGCCCCAACATATTGTTTTCAAAAGTGCAATTATTTAATGTCCTACTCTTAGGACACAAAAATTAGGTGGTCAATTTTAACTACCCATGTTTAATGAGGAATCAGATTTTTGTTTCACTGGGGGCAAGGAAAAAAAAAAAAAATATTACCAAAAATGTAGATTAAAAACATGAGATATAGATTAATATCACTCTTTAAAATAATGAAGAAAAAAAAAATTTATATATATAATGGTGGCCATATGTATTGAGAATACTCTCATAAAATATAATAAAAAGTGTTTACATGTAAGAATACAATTAAAAGAGGATTAACAATCAATTTCCAGAGTCAATGGGGGTATTAGCCCCCACTGGACATTTAGTGGCATTGTCATTGCTACGGTCATCTAACATTATTATTAAAGTTTTTATTTTATTTTTTTATTATTATTTTTTTTTTTATGATCAAGAATGTTTGGGCCAATTTATACATACCTTAACTAATTTTTTGAGATCTTAAAACTATTGATCAGATACAAACTATAATGATGACTCCTATTAAGAATCGTGAAACTTGAATTTGAGAAATAATGTAAACTTAGATCCTTTTGTCCTCTGCTACCATGGGGCAGTAGTGATTCGTTAGTATTAAAGTTGTTACTATTTGTTTAAAGTTGTGTTAGGTCCAATGTTCTGAAAACCGGATCGAACAATGACCCGTTCAAGGGTCCGGTTTTCGGTTTGATCGGTTGGATCGGTCGGTTGGACAGTAATTTATAAAAATTTTTTAGTCCCTAAAGGTTTGAAATTCATCAAAAACACCCCTATAATACTTCCTTAAGGTTTAAAATCTATCTAAAACACCCTTGTCGCGCGAAGATTCTGGTGAATGTGACGGCAGCGATGATCGACGGCCAATCGAAGCTGGAATCTTGGGGCTTTTGATGTGCAGGTGCCGACGACTCTGATGGTGGTGCGACAGAGTTCCATCGGCGTCGGAACTCGTCGGAATCAACAAAAGAAATCCGACGTCGCGTAAAGCCGTAAACTTTAGGTGGACGGCGATCGACGAAGGCTAGACGACGGCGACTGAAAATGGATGGGTTTGGTCGTGGAGATGTCGTCCGTCGAATGAGGGTGTTTTCTCTTTCGAAATATGTCGGAATCCGATGGCGATTGGACCGCGATTCGACACTATTCTAGTGGTCCAACCGCGGTCCAGTCCGGTTTAACTTCAAATAATGGTTTTTTATATATATCGGAGCAGATTTGCCATTGGTTGTCGGTCGAATCGGTCTGACTGGGTGGTCCGATTTGGTTTTCAGAACACTGGTTAGGTCAATATCGTTTACCGAGCCGGTATTACAATATCATCCTATGTTATGTGACAAAGTTAAATGAGATTTAAGACACAAGTAGGAGGAGTAAACAATAAATGGACGGTTGAAAAAGTTGAATCACTGGAAAGTGAAAAAAGGTGGTTGTCAAAAAAACAAAGTGTGACTAACAAAACAAAGGAAGTAACTTTGGCTCTGCATATAATCCACCTGGCATAGCCAAAAAAGCCAACTTCTCTGTAAGTCTGACCTTGGATTTCCAACCTTCAAAGCTGCATTTCTCTTTTTGCAACAACAGATATTCTCCCCACAAACATTTTTTTTTTTTTGAACATTTTCTTCCTTCACTTGTCTTCTTTTTTATTTTTATTTTTAAAAGGGTCAAGTTCTGATCTGAGACTCAGAGAGAGAGAGTAACTGGGGAAGAAAGCAGTGAACTTTGCTATTTTAGTGTAAAAAAAAATCATAAAGTTGATCCCTTCGGTTACAGGCCAAAGAAGAAGAAAATGATTGCTACTACTAGTAAGGAAGATGGGAAATGGAGGTGGGTTTTTCTTTATTCTCTCTGTTGGGGCGTGTATGAAAGAATGCAGAACTATTCACATTGTGATGCTGTATTTTTTTTTTTTTTTTCAGTGAAGCAAATGATAACTTGAGGACTTTGGAGTGTCTGAGAGGAAGATTAATTGCAGAAAGACAAGCTTCAAGGGCTGCAAAAGATGATGCAGAACTAATGGGAATCAAGGTTTGCTTATGATTTATACTTCCTGTTCAGATTTTGTTTCTGGGGACATTTGGTTTTGTTGATTGTATGAATTGAAAGAAGAAATTTGAGATTGTTGTTTGATTTTTTGTGTTTCTGTTCCAAAACTTTTTGATGGACACAGCTGATAGAGCTGGAGAATAAACTCAAGGAAGAGAATAAATTGAGGAATAAAGCTGAAAAGAAACTGAAATTTTTGAAAAAGAAGCTTGAGTCCTTGAAGATAACATTTACTTTGAATGAATCAGAGCAATCTAGTTCTTCAGAAAACTCTGCACATTCTTGTAAATCATCATCCGCAAGCACTTCAGGCCTCAAAGACATAGAAGAATCTGAATCCAAGTCACAGATCACAACTCCAGAAATCTCAGAATCCAATACATCTAATCAAAGCCATGAAAGTTCTTCCATTCAAGAGAATTCGGTGTCAGAAGATCCTCCACATGAAATAACAATACACAAATCAAGTCCAATTTGTCAAGATTCAGAGGTTGATAATCACAGGTACACTCCCATTTCACTTGCTCATTTATACTATTAATTATTAATGACTTAAGTTAATTAAAAATGAATCTTTTGTACAATTTGACAGCTCTGCAACCATGAAAACTTCAATGGAAGCTGGGAATGAGAGGGATAAAGAAGAAGATTATGTGGATAACTCAATGGCAATAGTTCCTGTGACTTTCCCAAAGAAATCCCAGGAGACAAATGAACTGAAGATAAGGAGTGGAAGTGCTAAAGAAGCTCTTGATGCACTAAGGCTTGCCAGAGAAAGGATTCAGAATTCCATGGAAAGAGGAAGACCTATGATTAGAGTTGGCCCTTCTTAAAATTTATGCATGTAATATAATACTAATAATTTCATCTTTTAGATAATACAACAGGAAGAAAGAGCTCTGTTCTTTTAGCATTGAAGCTAAATGGCTACTAGTACTACCCCCAAGGTACACTTAAATATAGTTATGGTTTAAGTTAACATTTGGATGGTTAATTAATAAAAAGTTCGAATGATTGTGCACATCACAGAGAGCATGTGAAAGTTGTTATGTATCGTCCATTTGATGCTTAAAGTTGGGTCCCAATTTTCTGTTCTCACCCTTTTTGTTTGTTTAGTCATTGAATCTCAATAGCTCCATGTTGTTGCCATGAGTGTTGGCCTCAAGGCCTCACTTGTCTACATGCCTAAGTTTGAGGGCAAAAGCCAGAAGGTAATGGCAAGCTAGCCCTCAGGCCCCTCACTGTTTAGTGCTCTTGTCAACTGCTTCTCAGCTAACCTTTAAAACTAGAAGTACTTTTACTGTTAATTAGCTGTAAAATTTATTTGTATGAAGTATGATTTTTGGGTACAAATATTCTCATCCATTAACAAATACTTAAAAACTCAAGCTTGGAGAAAGGTACCTGCTTACCACTTTACTGATTCTACTGATATACAGTTTCTGATATGTCCATTATACTTTGATTGATAGGTACCAAAATATGCTTTAGTTAACTTGGCGGTCAAGGAGGTTTGTTTTCTTTCTTGAGTGTTTGAGTTCAAACCTTAAGAGTACCTATCACAATAATATTGTGGTTTGCTTGGTTTTTTGGGTTTATAGGGTGTTCAATGGACTTCGAAGAGTAATTAAGGTGCACATAAGCTGGCCAAACACCCCGATTACCCAAAAAAACAAAAAAACAAACCAAAAAAAAAAAACTTATGATTAAGTTGGGATTTACTAAGTAATTGGTGCAGGCTCGAAAAGTGAAGCATGCTTATTGGGATATAAATAAGAATTTGGAAGTTAATAAGAGTTGTGACAGAAGACAAGCAATGCTTATTACATAACCCTAGATATATTCTCTAGGTCGTATCATGCTTTTGGCCTATTTATGCTTGGATTTTCATGCAACTTCTTCACATGCATGTTTTAGTACAAGGAGGTCTTTCAAGTTGTTCGGACACATCGACTGGCATCACCATCTTTTGCTCCCTCTTTTTCCCATACACTTTTTATAAAGCATTTGATTTAAAAGAGTCAAGATATAAGTGGTGAAAACAAAAATTCTTTTTCAGGGTAGTAATTTTTTTTAGAATATATTAAAAAATATTATCAATCTCTATGTTTGCATATGTAATATAATACACACTTTTCCTATCCTATCATATCCTAAAAACATAAAAATACATTTGTTTTAATATTCTTAAAATTCAATCTTATTCTATTCAACTCAAAATATTTAAAATATTTTTAATCTTTTAGGTTTGTTAATTTAACTAAACACATTCAATAATAAAAGTTTATAAATTAATAAAAACAACCCCACCTACCCACATACTGTCAGATTCTGACCACCACCGCCGGAAGGTGGCCGAAATCTGTTGTAATTACGCACGATCGACTGGATCTGGTCGGTTATGCGCTGATATGGTATTTTCCAGCCAAATCCACCATAGATCTACAACCAAAGATCTGGTTGTTGATGGCCAGATTTGGCCACATCAACAGCCAAATCTGTGGCTGTAGATCTAGCCTTTTTTGGCCAGATCAACGCACAACCGACCAGATCTAACCAGTTGTGTGCCATTCCGACAAATTCCAGCCACCTTTCGGCGATCGTGTCGAGCTTCCGACAATACGTGGGTGGGTAGAAGTGTTTTTGTCAATTTATAAACTTTTATTGTTGAGGGTACTTAGTTAAATTAAACAAACCTAGGGGGTAAAAAAATATAAATATTTTTAGAAAATGCTATTAAAAAATGTACAAAAAAATTCTCAAAATTCTATTTTATTTTTTGAAAATACAAAATAGCATAGAATGCTATTCTAGATAACCAACCAAACGGAGCAAAAGAATGCTATTCTAGATAACCAACCAAACAGAGCCCATTGGTTTTTTCTTTACTTGGCTTTTGGAAGCCTTGATCAAATATAATTGGGTTAGAATGGAGTTTGTTCAAACCGTGGGTTTGGGCTCGAGAAGATATGAATGTGGGTTTAAGAATGAGGTTTTGCTACGTTGTAGAAGAGTTTTTTGCACCTGCAAAAATGAGCAAACAAGCATTAGCAATGGTTAGCAATGGTGTTTGTCGGCGTGTCCCTTCAAATGCTCAAGTTAACGCAGCATCTTACACTGAGGTGGGACTAAATGCACCGTTACACTCTTTAATAAGGAGAAAATGTTTTTTCTTTATGAATAGTGGTTCCTTGACAACCTTATTATTAAATTTAGGGCTATCTTAGATGTATGTGTAACGGTTGTCAAATCGTATATCATATTGTGTATCGAAAACCTAATTTTTTAAATCATGTATCACGTATCATATCGTATCATAGAATACACCTTTTAAAAAAAAAAAAGATTAATAAAATAATAAAATTTTTCTGAAAATTAATATCATTCCTAATATTAATTAACGAATTTTGTGGTATTATTGGCTTTAAATTATGGTATTACATAATCAAAATTAATCATAAAATTAAGAATCTATATCCTTTAATTAAGAATCTATATCCTTTCTTCTTAACCATTTATATCATTTCTAAGATCAATGTTAATATTTATATCTCCAGTTATGTTATTATTATCATGCAAAATGGGCAATACATCTTTTTCTTCACTTTCTCTACACAAAATGGGTAAATTTGTGCAGGTTTTAGTAAATCGGGTTAGGTGACCTGGATCCAACACGAATTTTTTTTTTAGGCCTTTGGCCCAAATTTATAAAGTTATATCAATATTTTTAAAGATATGAACGGATGCGTATCGTATCGTAGGATACATATTAACGTATCGAAATATTTAGAATATACTTTATAATACATATCATTAGCGACTCATATAGTAGGATACATATCACATATTGTTTCCATTCTTTTTATTTCTATACAACGTCAATTGAGAGCTACACGTGTCTGTTATCTGGTTGTGGCCTTCAGTGTTATTTTCTCAATTGGGGCAGGACCACTACCTTGTTATTTCCGAGTCCAAAAGAGGGAAAGACTGCCAGTTTCGTGAGAAGCTTTTCAGAATTTAGCTTAAGGCTCATCAGCTATGAGATATATGTCATCTCTAGTGTGGAGGGTGGACTATTGTGGCATAGGGGAGGGCGAAACAAATGATGAAAAATGGGTTGAAGAAAATCCCAGGCAGTAGTGGATTGAATCCAGTGGGGGTTACAAAGCTTTATAGCTAAGGACACATCAGTGAAAGAAGGTTGAGATATACGAGCATTGGAAGGATTGCTTGGTTTGATGAGAGAAGAAGGGATGTATTGCAGAATGGTATGAAGAGGAGAGTGCCTATATATGAACAGTGAACGATAAGCATCAGAATTTTTGTAGAAATGAGTGGTGGCTCATGGAGTCCAATGTGCCCAATGTTTCTAAGGCCAAAATGATAACATATCTTACCCCCCTTTAGGAGTCCCTGCAGGTCAGAATAACATTATTGGTGAGTCATAGTTTGGTTGCCCACGCTAGATAGCTTGAGTGGGCTGCTGCGTGTTGAGTACATCGAATTGCCATTTTGTTTTGACTAATTGTCCAACACGAAGGATAGAAACAGTGTACATTTTATCATTTAATTAGTTTTCTTGGTGCATTATAAGTTCAAGAAAAGGCATAATGCAGAGCTGGACGTGTTGAAGACTTTGGATCCCATCTTAAAATTTACATATTTTTCTTGAGATGTTGAGCTGATATTGATGCCCTCTTACTGAACAGACAAGATTGATACTTTATTCCTGGAAGATGGGTACATTTTCTATAATTCTTTCTCCTGTAACCTTTCTGAGTTGTTCCCCAACTTTTGGACTGGTGTGCACTTGATTACTTTTAACGTGTTACCCTGTAATCATCACTCCAAAAAAGAGAATACCCATTTTCATCTTTAATTCTTTGCTTTTGAGTTTTTATTTCTCTCTTTCTTTTGTTTTGGGTAATCTTGCTTGAGTTAAAGCATCCAATGATACAACTTTTGGCCATAACGCCACAGTTAATTTCTATATATTCTTTGGTCGGTCCCCATTCCTTCTCCACACAATGATCATAATTTTTCCCTTTCATATTCACCAGATGCCATGATGCACTTGCACATTCTTCAAAGAGTAACAAATCCAATCACCTAAATAAATTTCACGCACATGGTTAAAATAGTCAATGGGGATTCATTTTTCCAAGCTCCAAGAAGTAAAACCGAGATAATGAAGGTGGTGGATGTCATGTAAGTGTGAAGGGTGACAATATGCCGGGACAAGCGCAGAGTGACAAAATTTGCTAACTTCCAACGTTGCATGGCTAATAATTGTTGTTTACTGTATAGGAGACAAGAGAAAGGAGCCATGGATGGGCCAAATGTTTTTTTTTCTTCTTATTGTTTCCATTCTCTTGATTAAGGCAGTGCTTATTGAGATAATGAAAAGAAAATAAAGTGTCTTAAGTGTTTGAAATGGACACATCTTGTAGAAAAAAACACCTACATTCTAGCCACTCCAATATTCTAAACCCACCGCTTCATCGATCTCTTCTGTTCCACCGTGATCGCCCAAATCTTCAAATGATAATTATGATATACTTGGTAATTCGAGTCCCATAATGCACTTGTTGAAAATAAAAACAGATCCCACCTAGAGAAAAGGAAGATTTTGATCATTTTACGTTACCTTCATATATATTAGTGATAAATATATAGTGTTAATTTACAATAATGTAAATTATTAACCATTTCCTCGGATTTTCTTTAATATTTATTTTATTAAATAGAAAGACCAATCCAAATTCCGAAGAATATGCATTGTCTCATCTTAGTTTTGATTTAGTCGTATTACTAGAAATGCCTATTAGACATAGATCATCGATAGATGAATCATTACTGAAAAGAATACTAAGATCCAACATGCATTGCAAAGTTAGTATAATCTATGACAAACCGAACTATATCGCAAGACATAAAAGCATATATTATAGATACTTTATAACCCATAAAGTGTATCCTGAAATA